TTTATTAAGAAAGAACTTGTGTCGCGTAAGTTTCGTCGGAACGAATTTACGGAAAATCAATTAACAAACGGAGACGTAACAATATTATTATTCAAAAAAGGAACTCGATCATTACATCATCAATGTTAGCAGCTCTTTTAGCAACTAACTAAATTATAACATTGAAAATTTATCTTACAACAATATGTGTTATACATATATAGTGAATATTAACGTACTATCTGGAGCACTCGTCCCCAGAACGGAAGTTATGTAAATTCACAATTAATGAAAGGTTATCTTCGAATATGAAAAGTTGCCTCCCTTATATGTGGCCCGGCACGGCTAGGTGGTTAGGGCGCTCAACTCGCCTTTTCAGCCGTGGGGACGTTATACTTTGACGGTCAGTCCCACTATTCGTTGGTAAAAAGAGTTGGCGGTGGGTGGTGATGACTAAGTGCCTTCCTTATAGTCTTACACTGCTAAATTAGGGACGGCTGACGCATATAGCCCTCGTGTAGCTTTGCCCACAATAAAATAGTCAAACAATTAGCAGTAGGAAGTAATGACTTAAATAAAGCTTACAATAAAGTGTCCCAATCAATATATTTCATTGATTATATATTTTTGGGGGGTGGGGGGGTGTTACTGTAGCCATCCAGAATACGGTTGTATATTTAACAGATAAAATTATATAACTGGTTTTAAAATAAATTGATTTTAATAATATATCAGTTTCATTCGAATAGTATCATTGCTTTTTTTCGCAAGGAAACAAAGTTTCGTTCCTAGTGAGCTGTGATTTAATCTAATTTGAAATTCGGAAACAGAACACTTTCATTTTTGACCTTTCAAATCTGAAAATCTGGCAAGTACATTCTACAAGGGTGGGTTTATATGACTGAGCTAAGACCTGTCTAACCTGAGGCCAGTGTCAAGTTTTAAGCTTCCGACATCTGCGATCGGCTTGTGGGTGTGGACTTGATGGAGTGCGCAGCCGCAGTAGTGAGGCCCAGGAAAGTGCGTAACTTTATCTTAACCAAAAGACTAACTTGTATTGCAGTGCGTAGGAAAGTAAGTTCGAGATGAGATAACTTGTATTGCCTTAACTTATCTATATACGTTTTGGCAGCTAGTGATTTTTGTTGTTTGATAATATTAATAAAATGCTTTTGAGTATTTGGTATGATGCCACATAATCACAGTGAGTTGTCTGGTTTATTCATGGTAACAGCGAGAACGATCAGAAGAGTGCTGACAATAGAGACGCAGCTCTCGGCTGCCGTAAACCCGCTCCATGGGTTGTGATGGGGCCGCGGCCTCACATTGGCTGCCCTTTCCACGGTATCGTTTCACTCACGGCTCTTTTTTTCCTACTTTTGGCAAGCACCATTCATAGTGCAGGTTAGTAATGATTTATGTTTCTAATAGAATTTTTAACGAAAGATTCCCGATTTTTTCTACGTTATAATTTATAAATATTTTTGAATAATCGTAGCAAGTAACTAAAGATTTATCGTATAAGACGTCTTATTCTGGCGAAATGCGATTTATTGATCGGTGGTTTGTGAGACATTACACCACAAATAAGACTTATAATGTTTAACAAATCTTTCTTTATACAGTTCGTACTATAGGGGTTTCTAGTGAGAATGTAACACTAATAGTAATAGCATCTCTGTCTCGTACCTAGTTTCAATGTTTGTTGGTGTTATACGCCGCTGGTATCGAAGCCTTTGGCAAAAAAAGATTTAACTATTTATTCGAAACATAAGTTTTATATATATATATATATATTAATTTATTATATGATAGAGAAATATTAAGAAGTATGTATTTAAATTTCAGCATTAGGTTAATTTTGTTTCTGCAATTTAATTTTATTTGTAATAACGTAATGTTTTTACTAGTTTGTTAATTCATAGCGTTTTTAAAAATGAAGCTTAAGTTAAAAGTGTAAATGTAATTTTAGATTCGCGTGTAAGAAAAAAATGAAAATATTAAACTTCAGTTGAATTATGAAACCTATTATTTTAATCCTTAGGTAACTAGTAGTATGCTTCTTGTTTTTGTTTTTTTACACAAATTTTATTTGAGTAATAGCATACTGAAATATAGCCCAATATTACTGGAAGGTAACCCTATTACTAGTAGTAGTACTACTACTAATGAGCTAATTGAAAGGGAACCACATAATATTTTCTCTGTCAGTGTTATATGGTCTGTTAGCATAATATCATGCAGTAAATATCTTAACATTATTTGTGTTATCAAAAGCACTAACAATACATTTTTATCCTCATTGTTAGCCGCGGCACAGCGGTTTATCGAATGGCTCCGAGTTTTTCTTTTTTAAGTAAACACTTTTAGCTCACAGCTCCGTCATCTCCGTGATCGATTTGAGATCTAATTACAGTTTCGGAATCAGGAGGTCAAACTCTATCGATTGATGTATTTCACTACGCCCATGGTCTCATAGATTAATTTACTCTAATCCCGCCTAAAATATTTAGTGCCGCAGCTATTGAAGATTCCCTTTTGTTTTCTACTTAACAAAGATGTATATTAATCAGGATGTCCATGGAATTTTGTTGCTATTAGGGCGTGTTTTGTTTGGTAATAATGATTTTGTCCTTGAAAATTTTTACCTGTAGTATTTGTGCTATCTCCAATATTTATATTGTACATCAAAGACTTCTCTAATGCACCTATGTTAGCCCTACATGGAAGTGTATGGTGGGAACCAGTAGACCAACAACAAAAAATTGAAATTTAGGACTCTGGTTCGTAATGTTGAAAGAAGTAACCCATTTTGTGAATAAGCACTTAAAATTGCTCATTTGTCAACTGCAGTAGGTTTTATAGTTATGCAATTTCAAGTATGTTTTTCTTTTTAAGTTTTATAATCCACACATTTACCCAACCAGATTTTTGGTGGAAGCAGACTATAGTATAATCCATTGCCCTAAGGATGTTTGATGGTGCTCTGTGTGACATAAAAATTTCTCCCCCAGTCCAACTCATTGGTTCACATTGTTAGTCAATAGGTGCCTCTCCTCAAGTTGGCACCCTGTTCAAACATACCACTTACACTATCCAGAGTACAACCCTGATATAATTACATGCTCCTAATATGCACTGAAAGGTAAAATGCCAGTGAATAATTTATGCCTGTTAATTAAGCCTGATTTAGTCATGTGTATAAGCTTTTGTTTTTGATATTCATTAACCTACAATTCCTGTATAGTTGTAGTAGTTCAAAGGCTATGAGAGTATTTTGTTTGCACCTGTTTTGCAGTTAATGTAACTGATAACAGTTGCATTAACTGTGATAAATATTAATAATATGCCGATGACATTTAATTTATAATTTTAATACAAAATGCATCATGGTCTCCTTAGATAGATGGAGAGAAAGAAAGACAACTACCTAAGGTGGGAGTATGTTATCTTTAGTAATGGCCCCATAATTAGTCTCATGTGATATTGGGTTTAAAAAAATCATTTGACAGTTGAATATACATTAAATTTCTGTACATTTGGTTTACATAAACAGTGATAAGAGAAGTATCAAAATCTCAATCTAAAGATTCATTTTTGGAAATTGATTTCATTGAATAACTTAAGTCCTATTATCATTACCAGTCCAGTATAACTTGTACTACAAGCTACTGTCACTGTCATACATGCAACACTGAAACATGTGGAGCTTGTTGCTTATCTTACACATCCTTAAAATCCTCTTAGACAAGTGTTTTTACTCTGTTGTTCATTCACCATGTATCAAACTATCATTGAACAAACCTTCAAATTGTTATCAATAGCATTTTATGGGAAGTCAACTACTTCCCATCCAATATGATGATAGGATTGGTATTCTAGAATATTTACATAGTTGGGGTAATGTGTTATTAAATAACTTGTTAATGTACTATGACTTTTTGCATTAGCAAGGTATTATAATGCATTATTTTTTAATGGGAGTAATAATATTACATATAATTTCTGCAAAAGAAACAAGTTGATCTCATTACCATCTTCTGTTATATACCTAAATTACTGCTCTTTTCATTTTTAAAGCCAAAGTATATTTCAATTTCTAAATTCTAAGCAAAGAAAATATCTAAACAGTGTGTGAAATATGATTTTTCTCTAAGTAATTGTCAAGACCAATTTCAGAACGAAACTCACCAAATGAAAATCATAAAAGTTTTATCAGCCTGAGAACTTGATTATGTTTTTACCTGGCAAATTGCATATGTGTGTGCTTTGTAGTAAGACTGACATATGTTTAATGAATTAGTTTCCAGGCATATACTTATAGTAAGGAATAGTCACAATACAAAAGAAGTGTAAAGAATAATCAAATGTGCTATTTTTTATATAACTGTATCTTCTTTGTTGTTTCAAATTTATGGCTAAAATATTTCATCTTATATTTTTGAACTAATGATATTAAATAATTTGTTTCAGGTGGTTCCCATTGTAAGGTAGAACTATGTTCAGCACAGTATCAAAGAGCTACACATTCTCATATAGAGTTTATTCGACCAGGTCCAAGCTATCATTACTGTACAGTGCTACGCAGTTATGCTGACTGTATCAGAGCAACTGCACGAAGTTGTCGAGGGAATCTCAATTACCATAGTATTTCATCTCTTGTAATGCAGTGGTTCAATGATTACAACTGCACAAATGTCATTTTAAATGGCATGGTCACAGAGCAGCCACCTTTGACACTAAGGCCACATTCATCTATTCCAAAAGCATGTTCTTTTCGAGGAAGTCATTCAGGGCCAGTAAGTTTTGCACACTGCGGACTTTTTGGGGATCCACACCTTAGGACTTTTTATGATGAGTTTCAAACCTGTCGAGTTCAAGGAGCTTGGCCTCTTATCGACAACCCATATTTAGCAGTTCAAGTTACAAATGAGCCAGTACAAGATGGATCTAAGGCTACTGCCATTGGCAAGGTACGTATCTGTCTGCCCTTCTATAGGAATCGTACATAAATAATACAGTGCCACATGTAAATATTGAAATAAAAATATTAAGAGTGCAATTGTTTTTATTTAAAGTGATCCAGTCAGAAAAAATGTTGTGAGTTAATTCATGATGTGTATAATATAAGCCATGGACTCCCAACCTGGTGAAGACCTTTCTGAGACCTTTGAAAAACATTAAACAGAAAATAAAATTTGCTCAAAATTGTAGGGCATTGTTAATAAGTTACCAATATATTCCACTAGCCAGCACTCAGCATTCGTGTATTGTTGACTCACCATTAAGTTATTTCTTTTGCTTTACATTTTTAGTATTATAAATCACTCATAATTTGATGGGTTTTTTTTTAACATATTATTTGCATCTGACTAGGGGTTACATAACATACAAAGGTTGGGAACTGTATAGTTTTGTTTTTATAAAGTTAATATATTTTTAGAGCATTTTTTATTTAAATTTAATATACATATTTAGTCAAATGTATTGGAGAACACTAGATATAGAAATGTCTCCTTATAATGTTCATACTTGGTTTAGGAAATAACATTTGTTGCTTTACATAGTGAGTTCTAGAATAGGGTGTTTTGTGTGATAGTGACTTGCACTTACTGTTACATCATAACTTGGCACCTTTTCTCAAAGACAAGGGTGTGTGCTACTTTTAAAGTTTAGGTGCACCTGCAGGAGCTCCAGACCTACTTCCTACATATTAATAGCAATGTTGTGAAAGAAAGGATAAAAACATGTCTCTTTATTTGGCAATGTGCCTGAAATGGTTTTTCCTCTCCTCTTTTACTTATTTTGTGTAATGGAAGTGAAGGAAAACTAAAACCAGAAGAATATTCATGAGGGTATCCTGCTAAATTATAATTCACATAAAACACTTTTGTTTGTAGGCTGTTGTTCATGAGGATTCTACATGTACATTATTGAATCAATTATTAATATTAAGATATTTTTCAAATGTAATAATTTTCTATGAATGGATACACGTATTAGTGTGTGTGTATATATATATATATATATATATATA